CATCATGCTACCAGACTTCAGGTTATACTACAAATCCATAGTGATCAAAAGAGCACGGTACTGGCACAAAAATAGAGATGTAGATCCATGGAATAGAACAGACAATCTAGAGATGAACCCAGATACGAACTGTCATTTGATCTTTGACAAGCCTAACAAAAACAGGCATTGGAGAAAAGAATCCCTATTTAACAAATGGTGCTGGGAAGAATTGGCTAACAACCTGTAGAAGACTGAAACTGGCCCCCCACCTCTCACCACTGACAAAAATTGATTCTCACTGGATAAAAGATTTAAATTTATGACATGAAACTATAACAATATTACAAGAGCATGAAGGGAAGACACTTGAAGATATCGGTCTGGTAAATATTTTATAAGGAGGACCCCTGCAAGTGCAGCAACACCAAAAGTAAATCACCACTATTTGATCAAGCTAAAAAGCCTCTGCACAGCTAGAAGCACTACAACTAAAGCAAACAGCCTTCAGAATGGGAGAAGATTTTTGCATGTTATGATTCTGACAATGGTCTGTTAACTAGAATTTACAGAAAACTCAAATTAATCAATAAGGAAAGAACAACCAACCCCATTTCTTTGTGGGCAAAAGTTGAACAGAAATTTCTCTGAAGATGACAAATGGCCAACAAACACATGAAAAAATGCTCATCATCTTTAATCATCAGAGAAATACAAATCAAAACCACTCTGAGATATCATCTCTTTCCAGTAATATTAGCCCACATCACAAAATCCCCAAACCGCAGGTGCTCGCGTGGATGTGGAGAGAAGGAAACACTTCTGCACTGCTAGTGGGACTGCAAACTAATACAATCCTTATAGAAAGAAGGAGAATCCTCAAGAAACTAAAAGTTGACCTACCGTTTGATCCTACAATCTCATTACTGATATCTGCCCAGAAGAACAAAACTCTCATTTTACCATAAAGACATCTGCACCAGAACGTTTACTGCAGCCCAATTCATAATTGCCAAGTCATGGAAGCAACCCAAATATGGGTTGGATGGATTAACTCACAAATGGATTAACAAAGTATGGTGTATGTATACCATGTAATACTATTCAACCATAAAAAGATGGAGAATTTATATCTTTTCCACTTACCTGCATGGAGTTGGAATATATATATATATTTTTTTTTTGAGATAGAGTCTCACTATGTCGCCCTGGGTAGAGTGCGGTAGTGTCACAGCTCACAGCAACCTCAAACTCTTGGGTTTAAGCGATTCTCTGCCTCAGCCTCCCAAGTAGCTGGGACTACAGGTGCCCACCACAATGCCCAGCTATTTTTGTTGTCGTTGTTGTTTCAGTTGTCATTGTTGTTTAGCTGGTCTGGGCCCGATTCAAACCTGCCAGCCTTGTTGTATGTAGCCGGCACCCTACCCACTGAGCTACAGGTGCCACTGAAACACATTCTTCTTAGTAAAGTAGCTTAAGAATGGGGGAAAAAAGTATCCAATGTACTCAATACTATTATGAAAACAATATATATACACATATGCATTTCATACGAATGATAAAACACAAACATATAAGGTACAAGGGAGAGGCATGAGGAGGGAGGGGGAGGGAAGTGGGGAGGGTGCCTGGTGGGAGAGGGGAGGGCATTTGGTAGGATCTCCCCTAATGTGCACAATGCAAGAGTACACTTCAAAACAACTAAGAGTAAATTATAAATCTTTCAACAAAAAATAAGTGAGGTGATGGAAATGTTAATCACTTTGATTTAAGCATTCCACATTGTTTATAAAATCATCCCATTGTACTCCATAAATGTATACCATTATGATTTTAATTAAAAATTAAATTAAAAAAACCCCAAATGTAAAAACTCCTCATGAAAATATTAGAGCCCAACAATGTTTTAAAAAATTACACACCACAACCAAGCAAGATTTATTCTACTTATCCACAGCTATTTCCACATCCGATCGATTAACGTCGACCATCACATCATCAAGGCCAAAGAGGAAAAATCATACTGTGAGATTAACAGATGCAGAAGCAGCACACGAAATCATAAATCCCAGACCCACTCATGATGAAAACTCCCAACACACTATAAGGGAAGGGAATTTCCTTAACATGAGAAGGGGCACTTATGAAAACCCCACAGTTAACATCCCACCCAATGGTGAATGTCTGAAATCTTTCCCTGTAAGATCAGAGCAAGCCAAGGAGGTCTCGTGTCACCACTCCTACCCCACTCTGAGTCCTAGACAACACAGTGAGACAAGGAGATAAAACGTATACAGCTAGGAAAAGGGAAAACTGCCTTGGTTCACAGAAAACGTCATTATCTGCACAGAAAATCCTTAAGAATCTATCAAAAAACAAAAAACCTGGAATGAATAAATAATTATAGGAAGGCTATAGGATACAAGGCTGATATACAGAAGTCAGGGGTTCTCTTATATTCCAGCAATGATGTGAAATTTGAATTTTAAAACATAGCACCATTTGTATATTTACATTAGCACCACAAAAAGAAATACTTAGGTATAAATCTAACACGATATGTATAAAATCTAAGAGGAAAACCAAAACTCTGATGAAAGGTATCAAAGATGTGAAGAAATAACAAAAGCTATTCTGTGTTAATGGACAGGAAGACATAGTGCTAACACGTTATTCCCAACATGATCCACAGATTCAACACAATCTCAACCAAAATCCCAGAAAATGGTTGTGTGGGTATTAACAAATGGACTTCTAAGTTCAACAGAGAGAAGAAAAAGACCCGGAACAGCCCACACAATCCTGAGGAACCCCGCTGTGAGATGCACATCACCCAGCTTTAAGGCTAAGTGTGAAAAGCCATACTGACCAACAAGGCACAGCGTTGGCAGAACACACAAACAGAATGGAGCAGAACAGAGGCCCCCAAATAAACCCAAACATACTCACCTGCTCTTTGACACAGGAGCAAAAGACAGTTCAAAGGACAAAGGACAGTCTCAACAAGTCAGACATCCACAACAAAAACAATCTAGAAACAGATCTACAACTTCTATAAAATTCATATGACATGGATCACAGATCAAAATGTAAAATACAAAACTGTAACACTTCTAGAAAAAAACATAGACTTACGTGACCTTGAGTTTGACAATGACTTTTTAGTTATACCATCAAGAAATAAGCTATGGAAGAAAAAAATATTAAGCTGGGCATTATTAAAATTAATCAAATAATTAAAAATCTCTGCTCTAGGAAAGGCATAAGAAAATGAAAAGCCACATACTGGGGGAAAATATTTGCAAAACATGTACCTGATAAAGGACATCCACAATATTTAAAAACTCTTATATTAAACAATAAGAGAACCTGATTAAAAATGGGCTAAAGATCTGAACAGACACCTCACCAAAGAATATATGTGGATGGCAAATAAGCATATGAAAAGAGACCTGACATGACGTCATCAGAGAACTGCAAATGGAACACTGGGACACCACTGCACATACCCGTGAGAAGGGAGGGACACCACTGCTCACCTATGAGAATGGGGGTACGCCGCTGCACACCTCAGGACAGCTTAACACCCTCAGATGTGGGACCAGCAGTCACCAGCAGTCACACTCCTTGGTATTTACCCAAATGAATTGAAAACTTGTGTCCACACAAAACCTGCACACAAACACTGATGGCAGATTTACTCAAATTGCCAAAAGGTGCAAGCAGCCAAGATGCCTTTCCATAGGTGAATGAATTAAGGCAATGAAATATTACTCAGCAACAGAAATGAGTTATCAAGCCTTGAAAAGACATAGGGAACCTTAAATATTATATAATACGTATTGATAAGTGGAAGATGCCACTCTGAAAAGGATATGTACTATATAATCCCAAATATGTATCATTATGGAACAGGCAACACTATGGAGACAGTAACAAGAGACCTGGCCCTGAGAAGGGGGCATCCCTGGTTTGAGGGCTGTGACTCTGAGATGGAAGCAACACAGTGTCAGGCGGTGCTGCCGCTTCACCGTAGCCCCTCAGCTCTCTCCCGAGCCCCGCACTGCTGCCCTGCACTGCTGCCTTACACCTGGCAGGTCCCAGGTCTGCAGACGCCCCCCAGACGCCCCCCAGACGTGACGGTTTCCAAGACCGCTACCGGAGCTTCTGTCTATGATCCACTTGGATGCCCAAATACACATGCTTCCCACATTTCCTCGCACTCTGTGAACTGCCCCCTGGAGTCTCACCTGCCGCCAGCCACCCCACACCTATGTGGGAGCTCCTGCTACTCAGTCTTCCCTGGCTCTATTTACAATGCTCCGCTTTTCAGACCAAACCCTGACTGATATAAGAGTTGATTTTTAAAAGAGGTTCATATCCTTATATTAGTTTTAAAAACTTGGATTTTTTTAGAACAAAATACATTTCAATCTCATCTGACTAAAAACTGTCAGAAACAAAGCTTTGTGTCGAATGTTTTTATTATTTTAACACAGATATACTCTTGCCAGGTAATCTGATTTCCAAAACGTGGGCCAAGAATTGCAATGTAACTAAAACTCGTAAATATACAAAACTGAAGTGAGTTTTACCGAAATTAGATATTTTTCCCTCATATAAAATCAGAAAATACCATGTGGTTAAAAAAAAAAAAAAAAACCCACAGTTTTTCCTTGTGGTAAACTGGAAGTCCTGGTTTTTCCTGTACTCCAGGTTTTAAATCACTTAGAATAGAATATAGAAGGACATTCTGGAAACATACATGTAAAATTAGCTACTTATATTTACCTTAATAAATTCAAAGGAAATTGCAGCTCTTTTTCCAAATAAAGTCTTCTTTCAAAACAATTTTTCCAAAAATATTTAATACAGTGATTTTCTGTTTCTAGAAAAGACTAGAGTTCCCAATCCTTCCCACTGGAACAGAAACACCACTGTCCAATGACCACCCAAAGAGAATGGGAACCCGGCTGGAAGCCGTGGGCACAGGCTGCAGACAGGCCCCGGCCCCGCCCCAATCAGGCGCTGAGCACAGCCAGGCTGTGAAGTTGGTAGAGGAAGGTGTTCTTCCCTCTGCTGCTTTCCCGGCCAGCCTGCTCCATCACCAGCTGTGGGTCAATCTAATTGGACAGACAAGAGAACCAATCACAAAAGCCCTACGACAGGGCTTTTCCAGACATAAAATCTCATATACACACAAAAGACAGCAGAAAAGTAGTCTTTATGTTTCAAAAAAATGTTTACAGAACATTTCTCTAGTCTCACATTTTATAATATGTATTTCAAAATTCATTTTTAAATTCATGTTTAAGAATACATCAGCATTTACTGAGAGACCCATATAGTCCAATGTAAATGTGAACAGTAATATTGCTGTAAGTATTTAAAACATCTAAGTTCTAAGGCATACCAACCTTGAAATGAAATTCTGCTTTCAAACTAAGTCCTGTTACTCTAACAATTTCAAACACCTCTGACTGAGGGCTACTGTGGCCAGTGCCATGTCCCCCTGTGCCAACAGTGGAGCTGGCTCCAATGATATAGGCCCTGAGCGCCCCCAAATGGGAGCCCAGCAGGGAGCAGAGGACTCAGCCTTTAGACACAGGTGGAAACACAACACCCAGAGCACCCCCTAACTCACTGCCCAGTGACAAAGAACTGCCCTCCAGCCAGTTCACTTACCAAGACTGCCCGGCACTAGAATCAGAGCTTAGCATCCCTCCCGTCTCCTTTCCCTGTCGTCACCTTTCATTTCAGAGCCTCACACACAGCGATGTCAGCTAAGCACGCCCCACCCTGAGGCACAGCCCCCGCCCTGAGGCACAGCCAGTGTGTCTTCTTCACATGTCCCCAGGGTGAGGCCCTGACCCACACGCGAGGGTATTTGGTGGTCAGTGGTCTTGGGAGCTGATTAGGGATAGATGAGGTCACAAGAGTAGGCCCTGTAATGGGATCAGTGCCCTCACAAGAGGGGACACCAGAGAGCTTGGTGGCTGTGTGTGCATGTGAGGTCCCAGCAGGAAGGTGGCCATCTGCAAGCCCTCATGGAACTGGCCAGGCTGGCACCAGCTCAAGGACATCCAGTTTCTAGGACTGTGAGAGGCAAGAGCCCGCTGTTCACACGCTGCTCACTACCTGCTATGGCACTCTGTCACAGTAGCCTGGGCAGATGAGAACACACAGCACCTCCTGTGACCTGCTAGCAAGCCAGTGACTTGCACAGATCCTGAACCTGAAGCTCCAGCACAGCCAGTCCCACCCATTCTCTGCAAATGCCCAGGGCAATCCAGCCTGGTCTTTGGTTTCCACCAAGGCATTGCAGAGAGGACGCTGCCCAGAAAACATCCACCTAGCCAGTGACATCCCCCATTCACCACTATAACCATGTACTTTACTCCTGTCTCTGCTCCCTGGGCCCTCAGCCGGCCTGGTTCTAAGCCCATTTCTGCCGAGGGCCTGAGCCCTCACTGAGTAGCCAACTGTTCCAGGGCAGTCTGCTTCCCACTTACCTGATTCCACTCGTACGGCTTTTCATGCCACTTAGGAATAATCTTCTCTCTTGGTTTTAACTGACAGAATAAACTAAAATTAGAAATGAAAAATTAAGTTACCTTAATTATACATTAGTAATTGAAAACATCACTGTGATTTGTATATAAAAAGATATAAATCTTATATATTTCCTTCATAATTAGAACTACAATAAATTTTTAAGAGACCAAAACCTATATAGTTATTATCAGAAAATAATCAACAGCACAGACCAGAATAGAGCATGCAGTCCCCACGGCCAGCCCACCCTTGATGCTCCTCACAGACCATAGCATCTCTGAGCCACTCTATGGAATTAACAGGACACTTTATATCCTTGCTCCTAAGCAGCCATGACAAGTTGGAAACATCAGTAACTTAAAAAACAGAGAGACTGGGAATGCCAACAATGAGGTGAAGAGCTCTGCAAAGCCTTTCTCCCAGAAAACTCTAACATAGGACAAAACTGTCAAAAACAACCATTTAAGGGCAAATGACAAACAAAACATCATTCCTTTAAAAAAGCTGCTCAACTCCAGGTAGGAAGAGCGGAGTCTGCAGAGTCCCTGCCTGGAGCTGCTCCCACCCACCAAGCACCTGCCAGCTTAACACAGCTCCTCGGTGCTGCCAGGCCCAGGTTGGCCTTAAAAATGTAGTCAGGGGAGCCTGCTTTGAGTTGGAGCAGAGAGTGAGAAAACCTCCCCCTGGTAGCTCTGTCAGGGCAGTGCACACCTACAGACTGTCCTGAAACTGCAGAGGGAACTCTCAGGAACGACACTGCTACAGACGGCTAGTAGCTCTCCACACACCCTGCCCGCTAGGAGGGTACAGACACACTGAGCAAGAATGAGCCACTGGTGAGGGCAGGAGCCTGGAGCTTAGGGTTTTAAGCACAATTTCTGGCTGTCACTGGCTGAGTGTTAAGCAGACACAAGCCTAGCAAGCTAGGCTAAAAACAAAAATAAAAACAAAACAAAGGGAAGAACCCAGGCATCAGTGACCTCTCAAACTGGGGTGGGGACAGACTCAGTCCAGGCAAGCTTCTAAAGTGAAACGAAATTAAAGCAACAACTCTGGGGACTTGCTACACCACATCATCTAAAATGCTCATTTCCAACAACAACAAAGACACGCAAAGACACAGGAGTGTGTGGCTGCACCCAGCACAAAAGGGTGCAGCTGACTGAGTGGGTCCAGATGTGGCTCAGCACATGAAGATCATGGTGCAGCCATTATAGATGTGTTCAAAGCACCAGCAAACCATGTTTAAAGAATTAAGGGGAAACTCAATGACTCAAAGATGATCTCGACAAAAATTAAAAACTATACAAAATAACCAAATGGAGATTCTAGAGTTGGAAAGTACATAGTTGAAATGGAAAATTTCCTAAGCAGATCATCATCTGCAAGAGTTTGAGATCACATAACGAAGAGTCAGGAAATACACAGACAGAGCAGCAGAAATTAGGTAGCCTAGAGGGAAAGAAGGAAAAAGGATAAAGTGACCAGAGCCCCACAGACCAGGGGGACAACATTAATTGTATTAATGTGTTTAATACTGGTACACTAACATGTATAATGCAAACACACATGCGATGTGTGCACACCAACACATGTGTAATGTATTCACACATCATACACAGATAATAGTGTCATGTATACATCCAGAGACACAGTAGCTACGCATGCCAGTATGTGTGCACATGTCGTGTGTGCTCACTGGCACGTCACACTCACTGATACACATGGTGTGCTCACTGACACGTCACACTCACTGACACACGTCATGTGTGTTCACTGACACGTCACACTAATACACATGGCGTGCCCACTGACATGTCACACTCACTGACACACATCATGTGTGCTCACTGACACGTCACACTCACTAATACACATGGTGTGCTGACACGTCACACTGACACACGTGCACGCTGACACGTCACACTGATACACATGGCGTGCTCACTGACACGTCACACTCACTGATACACATGGTGTGCTGACACGTCACACTGACACATGTGCACGCTGACACG